GAGGACAGGAAGGCGGGTGGGGAGGCGGTTTTTGCTTGGAGGGGGAGTCCGCCTCCCTCCAGGAAGCCACGACCACGTGTCACGGCAGGGAAAATGGCCACGGATCCTGTTCGAACCCGATGCGGAGTTCGCGGACGGAAGCAAAATTTTGCGAACGGTGCTGTTCATGACCCGAATTGGTTGTGAACAGAAGCGTTTGTGACCTGAGGTACCACTGTATTTCAAAACCTCAGCTGGTACAAATGCAGCTACCAAGCTTCTTATTGTCTGGTATGTGTTTTACAATTTATAGACAATTTACCACCCTTCTCAATTACTTAACTTTTATTCAATTTATACCCTAACTTCCTATTGGACTTTCCATTTGTTTTCAATGGGATATTGATTTAGGTTTACAAAGTCCAAAATGATTTGGAATCACGATAAAACAAAAAAACTTTCTTCCTATATAAGGCTACCCATAATCTATGCTCTTTGTTTAGAGGCCACCGTATGTCCCATCACCAAGAAAGTACCCTTTGATTAGTACATAAAGCAAGCCTTTCCTATAGCAGCTTCCTGATTATGGAAACTCCTTAGGAAAGAAATAGAGATGGCTCTATCCATACCGGTCCTTAAGATACACGGTTTATACAGTTAGGACATTTACCTTTTTAATTAGACTTTTTTTCTTGCAGATATATTAACTGTTGCACATTTTCTCGTTTACTGTTAATGTACATTGTTTTATGGCATTTGCTATCTTGTTCAGAAAAATAGGACGTGGTTTTAAATAATAAATATCGGCTTTTAATGCCAGAGTAGATTTTTAGACAAATTCCCATCAACAGTCAGGATGGCTAAATGAAAAGGGGCTCTAAGAATAGCAATAGCAGCACCACAACTGCCTAACTCTGCCCCATATTTTGTCCTGATGAAAACTAAAGACTTTTTGCCCAGACTTCACAATTTCAGAATTCCTTTGGGGACCGAAACATGGAAAGATAAGGTGGTGGCTTTTTTTCCTCCTAAAGATAGTATCAGAAAAGGCTAATAAAACAGGCTCATAGCAGCATCACAAAGATAACAAACCCAATTATGCATTTTCTTAAAACTGTGACAAGAAGCTGCTGGATGGTGCGTCCAGATGCACCATCCAGCAGTTTCTTGTCATAGTTTTAAGAAAATGCATAATTAGGTTTGTTATCTTTGTGATGCCTCCTCCCCATTCCCAACCTAACGTTGCTTGGGAACCAGGCTTCAGTTTCCCAAGACTTGTGTTTTAGGTATGTGAAATAATTACTCTTGTCCAACTATCTAAATATATTACACTTGAACCCAAGACTTTTTCTCAGCAATGCCTTGCCAGTCAAGACTTATTTTAAGTCTGCCTTGTTTCCCTCAGCACTAAAGTGGACTGTGTCAAACAGATGGCAATGTGCTAAACTCCACTATGTTGTTGAATTATTCATTTCCAGATCAAGAATCCATGCTTAACTTCACCCAGCAACAGGGAACTTACTTTGCCTAATTATTTCAGTTTCTTTTTTTCTATACCAATTCATTTTATCAACTTTACTTATTATACATTACTCCACTATTCAGTCACATTCCCTTTCCTTATGTTTATTTTCTCAGTTGAAATCAGTGAAACAGAATCCCTGTTATTTTCCATAAACATCAGCTGGGAGTAATGCTCTGACAGTTGCATGGGGAAAATGGCAATGAATCCATGATTTTGCAATTCAGAAAAAAGAGCAAGAAAATCCCATAAGAAAGAATAAACAAGATCAAAGAGCAATAGCCAGTGGGAGATTGATGGCAGGCAACAGCAGCCAACACATGAACTGGGAAGTAATTAACAGCAAGAGACTGGCTTCCTCTTACTGGCCCCTGTTGGGGCCCCCTCTTATTGGCCCGTTACTACTCAGGGTAGTGGGGACAAGTGTTAGACGACTTCTTTATGTCACCCAGCACCTACAGCCCTGCTGTTCTGGAGCAGCATATATCAACACCCAGGCTATCTGCTTGCTTGCAGATGTGTGATTCCAATCCAGTTGTTGGTTCAGTTATGATCATGTTTTATCCAGACTAGTATTAAGAAGGTGGAAGGTAAAAGGAGTTATTACTCAGAAATTTGTACAGAACCCTAAAATGTGATGGAATTCCGTTTTGTGCCAAACTACGTGATGTTGCATTTAAATAACAGAGTAGCTTTAGATCATTTCATTATACCAAATGATAATTGACAAAAAGCAGCCCTTTGTGACTAACTTGTGGGAATGAAAAGAAATCCCACTCTCACATTATTATTTTTTTTAAAAACAGTCTGTTTCTGAAGTACAAAAATCCTGAAGTCTGTTGTCAAGAGTAAAAGATTGCAGGTGTGGGTGATTTCTCATAATGTAACAAAATCCATATATAGCAACTTCAAGGTTTAGCTCTGCAGTTCAGACATTTCTAGGAATGCTCAGAGCAATTTTAAAGCCCTAAAAGGTTGAATGTGGAAGAAACATTATACGAGTGCTGTGATTACACACATATATTTTCTGTAAGTTCAATTTTTCCATATATAGCTATATACACAAAAGCCAAACAGAAAACATTTTTTTAGGGAGGGAGGGAGGGAGGGAGGGAGGGAAGGAAGGAAAGACTTTGTATTATGCATCCACAGTGAAGGTCTTCCTAGTTGGTGATGGGGTTTCAGCAGAAGGGAAGGGACTTTCATCCAGAGCCTTTGGAATATTCATATTCGAATGATTAGAGCAGTGTTTCTCAACCTTGGCAACTTTAAGATTTGTGGACTTCAACTCCCAGAATGCTGGCTGGGGAATTCTGGGAGTTGAAGTCCACAAATCTTAATGTTGCTAAGGTTGAGAAACACTGGATTAGAGTAAGCTGCACCATTGTGTTTAAGTGGCCACTTTTGTGAACACAGGAAGTCCTTGATTAACATTCACTCATTCAGCAAGTTATGATGGTGCAGAACGAGGGGGACTTATGACCGGTCCTTGTAGTTGTAGTCTTTGCAGCATCCCTGTGGTCATGCGATTGCAATTCGGGTGCTTGGCAACCAGCTCATAATTACAACATTGCAGCATTCTGGAATCACAAGATCACCATTTGCGACCTTCACTGCTGGCCTCCGACAAGCAAAGTCAATGGGAAAGCCAGCAGGAGATTGCAAATGGCAATCCCGTGACTGCAGGATGCTGCAACCACATGGGATTTGCCTAATGACAGCAACTGGAACTGCTACAGTAAGTTGGCACAGTCATGTGACATCTCACCTTACTACTGTGTCGCTTAGTGATGGAGTTTCTGGTCTCAATTACCGTTGGTAAGTGAGGACTACCTGTAGAATATAAAATCAGATATGTTAACTTTTCTAAGTTTTATTAAACATACTAAGGTATATTAACCAAATAGGACTTGCAAGTGGGCAGAAGATGCAATGATTTCTAATGTTTACCAGCTGATAAGGCATTTTGTTGGTATGCTTGCATTAGTGCTAGTCTGTTTGAAGAGTAGAAGTTTATCTCCTAGGACTTCAGTCTGGAATGGACTCATGTCCATGCAATCCTGTAAAGACCTTCCATTAAATTTGAAAAATGCCTTTGATTTAAAATGAAGTTAAGGAACTGTTCATCTTCAGGTTGATATGACTGTGCAGCACATAACCTTAATTTCTTCTGGTTGGTTGCTAGAAATACAGCAAGTATCTATTTTCCATTTTGTATCTCTACTGGGGCTTTTATTTCATGATTGTAAGAATCATAGAATTGTACTTGAAGCCAGCTATTGTCACCAACAAATCCAATGCTTGCTCAGTGCAGGAATCCAAATTAAAGCAACCATTTTGAATCCACTCTCACCACATGACAGCAATTAACAGCTGGGCACCGGGTTTCTCATTTAAGCTCACTTTCTTTTCTAAGAGAGAAGCTCCAGCACTTGGAACTGATTTAAGAAATCCCCCTTTGTCTTTGAAATTGAAGAAAGCAAGAAAGAAGTGCACTTTTCTAATACCTTCCTTTGGCCAATGAGAAGCAGCCACACTTTGGAAGTTGCAAAAAAGCTATATGTCATTCCTGCAAAAGAAAAACACATTTGTAATTGCATTGGTAGACTGTTAGGTTAATTTTATGGACTTAATTCATACCATAATTGTTCAAATATGATGCCTAACTTTCTGCTGAAGATCACATCTTGTCCTACAAAACGTTCATATATTTTCAACAAAATAAAATTATTTCACATGTTTCTCATAATGTTGTTTGCAGGGGAAGATAAACAGTTTTATCTTCATTTTAATGGCTTTTTCCCACGAAACTCAGGAAGGGCTCAGTCATGAAGTCATCTCTGACACATGCGAGTATATCTTTTAAAATTCAGCATGGCTTCAATGCCTAGGAATCCACACACTGCACCTATTTTTCATGCTAAAAATCTACATCCGACCCACTGGATATTTTCTACCTTTTCAGAAACTGGTGTAAAAAGAAAAAACATAGTTTTGAGAAGTAAATACTTTTGTTCATGTCCATGTATCATGAAGCTGATATGCTTCCTTTTTAATTTTTTTTTGGGGGGGGCGGTTAGTTGCAAGACTATGTGGCTTGGTCAGAATTGACATTCAGTTCTGTAATTGCATGCTAATAGTCCAATGACCAAATAATTGCCTCAACTGTAACTGATATCCTCCTTTAATGTGCTCTTTTGTGGATCAGCTAAGGAACTGTGTTACTCTGATCTATAACTACAAAAAGCATCATTAGCCTCCTATTATATTTATTTAAAAGCAAAATCTCATCCCTTTGCACAGGATCAAGAAAATTAGCAATCAAGCGCTGACTTTTGAGGAGCACATCAGGCGGCAGCATTGTACAGTAAATAGAGGTTTTATTTTTTTCCCAGCTCTGCAAGATTAGCACTGCCAACAATCAGAGATCAACTTATAATACAAGTAGATAGTACCTATTTACAACTTACAGAAGTGTAAATTTATTTCCCACAAAATATAAGTACAAAAGCTATGAATTAATAAATGAGGTCCTGCAATCTGGATTCATTATAAGCAAAAGCTTAACAGAAATGGCCTTTAATAAACAATCAATAGGAGGAAAATAGCTCCAGCAGCTTAACTTATTATGAAATCAAGGCCAGCTCCCCACTCAAAGCGTATTGCACAGTTATTTCAGACAATATGTAATATTTGAAACAAAACCCACCACAAAATAAATAGAACCATTCATTTTTTTAAAGATAGTTTGTGAAAGCTGTACTGAGAGAAAATACTTCGATTTCTTTAAAAAATCTAAAGCTAAATTGAAAATAGTGTCCAAGTTAAGCACGCGCCACCTGATCAAAAATCTTTCTTAAAGACAATAAATTAACCACATTCACAGTCCCAATTCTCAGTCCATCATTCCTTGCTGTGCTCCTTTCACGTGAAATCTGAATAACAGTTTTTGTCTACTCCATGCTCCAAAGAGCTAATTTGGAAATATGATCAGATTTCAAAGCTGTGTAATCTGTTACAAAGTGCATATGTCGCAAATTCTTCAAGTTGATGGTCGTAACCAGGACTAGAAAAGAATTGGAGGGGGGGAAAAAAAGGGGGGGGGAGAAATGTTATAAATTGTGAGAACATATGGCATGCATATATTTGTAAACATATAGCTAACTAATTGCAACACAAATACACTAATAATTTAATCATCAGTGCCACTAACACGCTGGCAAAACAGTTTTTTTTAGAGTGGCAGTGGGAATTAAGGAACACAGCATATGAAGGGGGCAGTCACAATGATACCGTGAAAAGAGAGCAGAAGTCTTGGTTTGGCAACAAACATAACACATTGCAAGGTATGGAGATGTCTATTTATCATCATGGGTGTAATGAGAAGTGCAGCATAGTAACTTATTGTATTTTCTTTTTGTGCTTTATGCCCCTTTCAGGATTTGGTAATATTGCCTTGAGACTGAATATGGAATGCTGCATTTGTTTTAATAGTTTTGTGTGTGTGTGTGTGTGTGTGTGTGTGTGTGTGTGTGGGGTGGTGGTGGTGGTGGTGCTGCCTTCGAGTCAGTGCTGACTCCTGTAATGGTATGTTGGAAAAACCTTGGGAGACTGGGCAAAGGGACGCTGCCAAGGGAATGGTCAGATAAGAGACAGCATAGCCTACAGCTAGATAGCGGGCAGGGCAAGAGACTCAGAAGAGACTCTCCCTGGTTTCTCGGGCTGTAAAGGAGAGATGGCAGGGGGGAGAGAATTGTACTTTCATACTTGCAAGATTCTGTCAGTGTAGCTTTACAACAAAGTAGAATTAGCTCATCTGGTTGTGATTCCTATCTGGTTTACCCTGCGAGGCTGACAGCTCCTGACGACTGCCTGCACAAGTCCCTGCAGTTTTCTTGGTAAGATTTCAGAAGGGGCTTGCCATTGCGTTCTTCCTAGGGCTGAGAGTGTGTGATTGGCCCAAGGTCACCCAACTGGCTTTGTGCCTAAGGCAGGACTAGAACTCACGGTCTCCCAGTTTCTAGCCTGGTGCCTTAACCAAACTGGCTCTTTTTAATACCTTGAAATTAATAATTTTTTTAAAAATAGAGTTTTCATGTTCCAAAATCACTCCATGTATTTTTCCTATAAACATATTTTGTTTAAGTTTTGGTATCGCTGCCCTTTAAACTGCAATTGTAAATTTTAATGGCTTCTAGCTAACAAGTACCATCTTCATTCATAAGAGCATGTTTTCTTTTAATCTTATGTTGCAGATTTGTACAACTTAAACCAATTCCACTGATATAAAGAAGGAGTTAAGGCTTGTTAGGAAAGTTATTTTAGAAAACAAAAAATAGTAAGAATTAAGCAAGATCACTAATGCATGGAGAAATTACTATTATTTTAGCAAAAGAGAAGGAAAAACAAATACGGTTATATACCAGGCAACACTCACCTACGTACTAACTAAAGCACTGATTGATGATTTATTCAGAAGATACCACTGCGAGGTGAGGTGAACTATAAAGCCAGGAAAAGAACAGCTTATTGGATTAATGGGTTAATCAAAGCAGGTGCGACTACAGGAAGAGTTTGGTATTTATTTCTAGCTATGGCTACTGGCCAAAGCAAATGCTGCTCTTAATATCAAATACAGTATATCTGTGTTCTGCAGCATATTGCTGAGGTTAATTCTAGACAATCCAAGATACTTAGATTCAAAGGCTGTTTTGTGTAACACACTGGTGCAGCGTTTAAATCTGCACAAGCCTTCTAGATTAGAATACTAACTTACAGTAATTTTGGTCTCTTCTTTGTTGTGCTCAACTAATCCTCTATTAAGAATGATAGTATACAAAATGAGACCATAAAACAAAAGTACAATTTTGCTTGTTTTGATTATTCCAAAATGAAATGTTGAGTCCAATACTGTACCCCTGCCAACTCATCTAACATTCGCATGGAAAACTAAACAGGATTAACATCCATGGCCCACAATTGTTCAGAACAGAAAGGAAAGCACATTAAGATTATTAGTGTGCATTAAAGCAGGAAAAAGTTTAGGCAAAGCAACCAAACAGAAACATGAATTGACATATACTTTGTTTTTTCCAACATAATTCATATCTAATATCCCTAATATATTTCTCATGAAATATGCTATCCCACCATTCACCCAGCTTTCTAATAAAGCTGGATACTACACCATTTAAAAATACACCAACTATATTAATAATTTTAAAGCCAAACTATGGTAGTTCAAAAAGTGAATCATTTTAAAATGTATGCTGACTATCAAATATTTTTATACTGATCACTGATTAATTTTTACATAACCTGGCTACTGAGAACATAGATAAAAGGAGTAAGCATAGAAAAAAGTTAGAAAAGAAATCCTAAATTTTTGACCCATGTCAGAAACTCTGCAATAAAAATATAAACAAGAGATTGGTGCTTACATATTAATCAGTTCCAGAGAATTATTATTAACATTCTAAACTGACCCTATCTGGGCTGGGAAACTAAGTATGGTCAGGCCTGGTTAGTATTTGGATGTGGGAAAACCAGGGCTGTACACTAGACTGGGAAGCTGAAAAACATCTCAGAGGAAACAATGGCAAATCACTTTACAATTGTCAAGAAAACTTAATGGTTGTGTCCATAAAGTTATACAGAGTCCAACTCAAAGGAGGCTTTCTCTTTTTTAAACAGAGATCAATATGTAAAAAATTGTTCCAATTTGGGAGTTGGCAAATACCTATACTTTTGCACAGAATAAGAAAACTATGCCATTCATTTCAATTTATTCAATCTTAAAAAAAAGGAGAGGCTATGGAGGACATGGGATTGAAATATCAGTTGTTCATCTAGTATAAGTTAAAGAGATAAACATTTTTAAAATTTGTTTGTCCTAATTTTAATGGATTGTCTTCACATTATTTAAGTTGTGTAGGTTTCCTTGGACTTCCTATCTAACTGTGTAGCAGACGTATCAAATAAATATATGCTGGCATAGACATCACATAGTTTTATTACATTCACTAAAAGTACTGTATGTTAATGTCTGCTATTATTTGTGAGTCACACCTATCGCAGGAACATCTTCCCAATATTTTCCCATTTGTTACTCCAAAATCTCTTATCAATTCTTACCACTGTCCGTGCATCTTCTCGTTCTAAGATCTTCTGAGTTTGATCAGGAGAGAATTTCAGCACTGTAGTTATAACCTTTGCCATTGTCTAAAACATGAACAAAGGAAATAGTGTTCAAGCGCCCAATTTGATCTATTAAATGATATGTATCTTATTCTTAGGAATGGTTATGGAAGCATGGTAAAAAGAAAATGAGAAGCACACATTTGTTTCTTACCCCATGACAGCTTGTGACATGATTGTGTGTGTGAATCAAGGGTATTAAATTTACTCAGTTTATAGTACTGGTACTTACTACTATTAAACAATTCAAATTCCACATTCCACACTGAGAGGCAGTCTCTGCATGAAAAAAAGCAGTGGAAGTCAAGAAGAAAAACTAACCTATAGCCAATGCATCTTCTCTTCTATTCTAGTAGATTAAAAACAATAGAAATTTAATTATGTATTGCTTTCAAGAGGATGTTCACCCTAAGTTTATGCACATATAGTTTGAAATATCTTTCCATAATCCTGGAATGTTCTCTCAAATTAGTGTAAGTTTTCAGCTCCATTTTTGCTAGATTATGTCCAGCAATTTTGTCCTATAAATTTTCACATTTGTAACGGTAGCTGATATATTATCTGCTTTACTGATTCAGTGTTGTCTGCAATATACTGTATGTATGTCCTAGTTGGCAGGGATCAAAGTAGGCTGTCTTGCAAGGTAATATCAAGATTAGAGATCCTAGTTTGCATAGATTAGTGTAAACATGCTTGGGATAAAACCCAGCTTATGGCATACTGGTTAAAATATATACTATCCTTACTGTCAGCAGGGAATATAGTATGTGATATAGGCAAAACTAAGGCGTCTTTGTCTACTAAAAAGTACTGTGTGAAAGCCTCAATTAATCAAAACTATGGTGGGTGAAGGAAAGCCTATGGGTCCATTTAGTGATGAATCTGGCAAATGAAAAATTGTAATTTGGAATATAAGAGAACGGATATATAAATAAATGAACAAGTATAATGTTTTGACTCATTTGTTTAATTCAGTTCTCTTTATCTTGTTTTAGGACTTGTGCACAGAACAGATCACGTTTTAGGTCATATTTATGCAGAAATATTGAAAATTCAAGAGACTTCACAAACTTTTAAGCACTGCTGTAGATCTAACTGAAAGTGGTCTGATGTGCAGCGGACTTGATAAATACATGTGTGGTATTCAAAGTATAGATTAAATGACTAAAGTATATGACACACTGCATGGATCTGTGTCATCTAGATTGTTCTGGGTGCATATGAAAGGTTGACAATTGCATGTTAACCTCCACCAAATAGTGGTAATGGAAGGAGGATGAGTTTTGGAAAAAAATAGTACAACATTCTCAATTACTGTGGTCTGGAGGAAAAAAAATATTGTTACAATATGGATGGTTGGGTGGGAACAAGATGTGAGCATACAGAAAAAACTGAGCCATCTGAATACCTAAGAATGAATGAGAATAGTTACTGTTTTGCAAGTATCTGCTTAGAAAAAGCTCTGTTTCAATTATGTGATTTAAGCATACGTCTTTTCATACATTCAGATGGAAAAGGAATGAACTGAAACATTTGAGTTATTTAATTGTTTAGGATGAAAGACTAAGAGACATAGCAAAGAGATTTAATTATCTAATGGAGTTATGTCTAAACGTTTCCACATATGAACCTTTGAAAATTAAGAATACTTACAAGAAATAATTTATAAAAAATATGCTGGACAATTGGTATACCAACACAAGTTAGATAATATAGCCCAACAGAATTTTTGACATTTGTATTAAAAGTCTACCAAAGTACAAACTTTTCTTTACTTTGGAAGAAGACAGCTTCCTGCAATTTTAATTTTTGGTTCTTTTAACCATGAAAAGAAAGTGATTACAAAGTTAACATGGCCAGTTCTAGAGAAATCCAACATACACACAACAGTCCTTGTAACGCCTCCCCCCCCCCCCCCACGCCTTTTTTTTTTTTTTTAATTTTTTCCCCCCCCCCCCCCCCCCCCCCC